AGCCAGACACAACAACATATAGATGATTGTTTTGTCTGAACAAGATTCACAGAAAAAATAGCCTCTCACAGGGGTGGATATAAGGAGCGAGTATTAGTAACAAAAATTATATAGAAATATTGGCATCTCAACCCTTCTATTCAAACGTAGGTTTGATTTCCTTGTGAGATGATGATGATATAGAAAACCGGCTAAAAATGAGATTGCACGCTTTTTTTAATCTAGATGTTTGATCGAATGATTCTAGAGTAAGAGAGTTTAATAGTCGTTTTTGCTAGAGTAAATCATCATGGCTAAGATCAAAACATAGGGTTTTCCCTAAAATAGGACTTAATGTTTGGTTCCATAAATAGACTAATCATTCAATTTCTACCCTCATTGAATTAATTAATTAACGCAATTAATTGCCCCTAATTCTCGTGTACAACCAAGGCAGTCTGTTGGTAGCGGGAGCAGTGAGGTGGTGACAGCAGTTCGTCGGCAGCGGCGGCGGTGGATGGCGGCTCCGGCACAACAAATCTAGCAAGCTGTCAGGGAAAAATCTAGAATTTTCCACCAGTGCTCCGACGGCGGTGGCAGGCGGCGATCTGCAGTGTTAAAAACTGTGAAGAGTATTTTGGTCTAATCACAAATAAAAACTCTATTTAAGAATGTTTAAACTATGTGCTTCTATTTTGGGAAAAAAATTATGGAGTATGTTTTAGTCTTGGGTAAATCTACCTTTTCGCTATAGTACGATGGCCAATTGTGGGGGTGGGCATTTCAGTTTTCGGTTCGGTTTTCTTCCGTTTCGATTCGGTTTCGGTTTAATCAGTTTGATAGAAAATGTACCAAATACAAACCGATTAAGTTTCGGTTTGGTTTCGGTTTGGTACGGTTCGGTTTGGGGTTCGGTTTACCAAAGTATTAAGGTTTGGACTGAAATAAAAAAATTAACTCAAAATAATGAAACAAGAAGCGTTAGTAATGAATCAAATATAATGTTAGATATAAATTTGTAAACAGTAACAAAACACATATGAAACCAAAATATATAAGCATGACACATTTGTAAACAACAACAACGAGAATGAATCAAATTATATATAAAGTCGAAACAAAAACAAAATTGGTGCTTGTAAGTAATGAACCAAATATATATAGTTGTAGTAGATAATAAATTATACTCCCTCCGTCCCTATATAAAAGTATCCATTCATTTTACACACATCTTAAGAAAGTGAGTTTGGTTGGTACTGTTTGACACTGTTTGGACACTGTTTGGCACTGTTTGACACTGTTTTGCACTATTTTGTTTGCCAAAAAAGAAAAGGGAACTTTTATTTAGGGACGGCCTGAAAAGGAAACAAATGCTTTTATTTAGGGACGGAGGGAGTAGTTAAATACTATCTACTTAAACCACTATAATTGTTATACTCCGTAGTTGTGAAAATAAGTCTTGTAGTAAACTATAATCCCCGACACCAAATTAAAGCATTAAAGCTTCAAAAAGATTAACATCAATCAAATTAATGAGAGAAATCTTATATTTTTGTTTGATCTAATTTGATGTAAGTTGGTTTTGATTTGTTATTTTAAAAATATAAGAAATTATTTAATTTTTTGATTAGTTTGGTTTTATTCGATTTTATGATTTTGGTTCGGTTTGATTCGGTTTAATACGGGTTGGGAGGAATACTACCAAACTCAAACCAAATTACAAATGGTTCAATTTCGATTTGGTTTAATTCGGTTTGTTACGGTTCGATTCGGTCAAATCGAACCGTTATGCCCCCCTAAGCAATTGTTACCTTACAAAAACTATTCGAGAGGATATATAGATGTAATTTATGTACGTAGTATATCTATATCAGTATATGTACATGTCGCATGTATGTACCCTAATCTCGGTACCTGAATCAGGAAAAGCGTCCAGGTTCACCCTATCAATTCTGACCCCGTTTTCTCGTCTTTGCCCACAAACTCCCGTTTCCTCTTAGGTCGGTCTCAGCCCTCCGTATCGTCATTGTCTTCTTTTGATCGTCTTGATTATCAATGATATCTAACTGCTGCTCGGTGAGATTCACAAGCAAATTCTGCTCCGGCGTAGTCTACTGTTGTTGCAGCTGCTGTTACTGTTGAAACATATTGGAGCTTGAGGGTTGAATATAATCGAGTGAGTTTTCTACTTTGGTGTTGTTATTGATTTGATTCGTATGGATTTACCTCAATCCCTGCCAAGTAATTTGTCGTTAGGGTTTTCATCCCTCTCTTCGACTCCTGCTCCACCCAATCGGTCCCAATCGGCTGATGATTCGATCTCTTTCCAGATCGATTCAAGCTTTGGCGACCATTCCAATCCCCTGCCGTCTGTACCACTTCAATTGATGGAGAAACAGGCGACGGAAGTTAAGGATAAAGACGCCGGAGGGACTATGGATGACTGTGAGATTCGGATTTTGGGACATTCTATGTGTTTTAAGCGGAAGAGGGAAGCTGATTCAACCTCATCACATTCTGCTTCATCTAACGGTGGTCATAGGGTCTCGATCTCTACCAAAAACCAACAAAGTCATGAAGCACTCAGAAGTTCTGTCATTGCTTGGGGGAATCAAAGCCTTCGATCAGCAGACCCTGACTTATTTCAGATGATGGAGAACGAAAAGGAGAGGCAATACAAAGGGATTGAACTGATTGCTTCAGAGAATTTCGTCTGTAAGGCAGTAATGGAAGCATTGGGAAGCCATTTAACGAATAAGTATTCGGAAGGAATGCCAGGAGCAAGGTATTATGGAGGCAATCAGTTCATTGATGAGATCGAGACACTGTGTTGTGAGCGTGCTTTGGTTGCTTTTGGACTTAATTCTGAGAATTGGGGTGTGAATGTTCAACCCTACTCATGTACATCTGCAAACTTTGCTGTATATACGGGTTTGTTATTGCCTGGTGATCGTATTATGGGTTTGGATACACCTTCTGGTGGGAACACAAGTCATGGGTACTATCTCCCGAATGGGAGGAAAGTTTCAGGGGCTTCGATTTTCTTTGAGAGTTTTCCTTATAAGGTCAATCCTCAAACTGGATATGTGGATTATAATCAGCTTGAGGAGAGGGCTGTTGATTTCCGTCCTAAGATTCTTATATGTGGGGGAAGTTCTTATCCCCGGGAGTGGGATTATGCAAGGTTTAGACAGATCGCTGATAAGTGTGGAGCAGTTTTGTTGTGTGATATGGCTCAAATCAGTGGTCTGGTTGCTGCTAAGGTTTGTGATAGCCCTTTCGATTATTGTGATGTAGTTACTGCCACAACCCACAAGAGTCTTCGAGGCCCAAGAGGAGGCATTATCTTTTATAGGAGAGGTACAAAAACAAGGAAGAAAGGTATGGTTCTGAATCAAGGTGATGTTTGTGATAAGTACGATTTTGAGGAGAAGATAAATTTTGCGGTTTTCCCGGCATTGCAAGGTGGGCCACACAACAACCACATTGCTGCCCTTGCTGTAGCATTGAAACAAGTAGCAACTCCCGAATACAACATTTACATGCAACAAGTTAAGAAGAACGCGCAAGCCTTGGTTAATGCATTGTTGAAAAAGAATTGTAAGTTGGTCACTGGCGGAACAGATAATCACCTGATAATTTGGGATATAAGGAATCTTGGCTTAAAAGTCCAGAATTTTGAGAAGATTTGTGAGTTGTGTCATATCACTCTCAACAAAGTCATGGTCTTTGATGACAATGGAACTATTACACCTGGGGGCGTGAGGATAGGGACATCAGCAATGACGACAAGAGGCTGTTTAGAGTCTGATTTCGAAGCAATAGCTGATATCCTATTAAAAGCTGCCCATATAGCAAGCAGTGTACAGAGAGAACACGGGAAGCTGTCCAGGGCATTCTCAAAGGGGACAGAGAGCAACAAGGAAATTATGGAACTTCGGGCACATGTAGAATGTTTTGCATCTCAGTTTGCAATGCCTGGATTTGAAATTTGATTGATTGCTTTCAGGGGAAATGCTTCCAAGGGCGTGGCTGGTTAAGGGGTATATAACTATATACTGTAAGTAAATGCAGTTAATTGGTAAGCAATTAATTAGTTGACTAGGAAGGAAGGAGGCTTCCTTCTCTGTCTGGACAAACATGTTTTGTAGAGCATTTTTTGTTTCCTCGCTTATTATTATGGGTATTGTTTCTAATATTTATGCTGTTGTTATTATTGGTATTAATTAAAATATACATTAGTATTTGATTAAAAAATATATATACATTGGTATTCTATGGCTATTCATATGAGCTGATGTGTTCGACTGTATTTATTGATAATCTTGAAATGCACGTACTCGTGTTACTAAGGTCCTGGTTCTCAACTGGAACTGAATAGCTAGTTCCTAATTCGAAAATGACCAATTGCGACTAACCTTTTCAATAAAGCATTTGGGTCGGTCAACCGAATTGTAGTAGATTTTGTACCCGTGTGCACCAGAAGTCTAGTACTATAATATATGTGGTCCCTCTACATGCTTGGCACGGGTTGTGATCCTTGATGAATGTTCCAACTTTTCAACTTTGTATTGAATGTATCTTTGATCCCGACTATTACTAAACAAGAAAAGTTGGAGATGCTCTCGTTGAAAAGTGTAAAAATACTCCCTACTTAAATAAGATAGTCGCTTCCATGGTGATAAAAAGCTTTATTGTTTTTTCCAAAGAAAAATATGGGATATTATGCCCAAATAAAATAATAATATTATCTGTCACTTTCCCTTGCCCTGGACTCCAAGTAATTAAAAGTCCGTCCGTATCTACGCTCTGGGATTGCTTCTCAAGTGCCATTTCCCATTGCGTCTCTTGGCTATTCTTTTCCAAGTTTTGAATTATACGGAGTAGATTAAAAGCTTAATTAAAAGAATAACTCCAACCATTGCCGCTGATACCTTACTTGCCTGGTTATCACCTCGTAACCCACCCTTCAGAATTACTGCTATTTAATTATCAGCAACAAAAATGCTCCAAAAATTGCAGTTCGGGTTAAGAGTAACTGGCAGGAAGTGGCGATGGAGGTGGAGCGAGCCATGTCGGAAAATCCTGCAACAACGGCGGATGAGGTATGGGCGGAGCGAAGCAGCAACTTCTTCAAGGCCTTACAGGTAATCAATCTATATTATAATCTATACCCATTGAGTAATTAGCTTTCATATATCCTTTATTTAGGTGTTACTGCTTGAAGATCCATCATAATAAGTTCATCTGAATATCTGATACTCCTTATTACTCCGGAGTATATAAAACAAAGAGAACAGTGTCAAATTACAAAGGACTATTAATTTCTACTATATATAGGTATGCTCATCTTAATGAACTATTAAATATCAATAATGGACCACTCCTAAGAAACTCATATCTTACACGAGAAACCCGATGAAGAACTCCACACGAAAAGAGATGATTAGCGCAATAGGAACCCCGCGAATTGAATAAACATACCAACACTAGCGGGGGTGGAGCCCGGGCATTGAGTCGGTACAAAAAATATTTTTGAAAAATTATTTACATGAATTTTTTACACTAAAAATTTTTGGATTTTTTTATTTAATTTGGGGTGGACAGGACCTTAGTTGCCCCCTAGCTAGCTCCGCCCCTAAACATTAGGTACCTTAACGTTTCAGTTCACTTATTTTTTCCAACTTCAGTTTTATTTAGGCTTTAATTTTATTCAAACATGACTACTTAATGTTACACATTGACACATTCGATTGAATTTAAAAAATTTCAACATATTATGAATCAGGAGGAGTGCCAAACATAGGGAATTAGGGACTTTGTGCTGCTTACAAAATGTACATTTATAAAAAGCGTCTTCCTAGGTTTACAAACGTGTTTGACACTTAGCGGATAGCGGATAGCGAGTTGTCAGTAGCGGATTTGACTAGCGAATACATTGGCGGGTTGCCAGATTGATGTTTAATTTGGTAATTTTGCTGTTCGGCTATAAAAAATTAGTTGAAAACGCTATATATATTTCAAAACAATAACCAAAACTCTCCTATTTGTAGCGTTTTCATTTCATCGATTCCGTCCAAAAAAACTAAGATCGAGCAACTATTTACCAAACCGCATTTTCATTTATTGTAAACGGTAAAAACAGTTAAACCACTATTTTTTGATGAAAGCCATTTTCCAAACACCCTTACCTAAAACTATATACGATGGTGCATATGTACTTATGCGATAGAGTTTGCAAATTTAATTTAGGATTTTAAGATTTATTAATATTTTTTCCCATTTGAAATTGAAATAGCTTATCTCGGAGTTCGTACATTGTACATCCGGCTGTACGGTGAGCACCGTACAGCCGGCCCAACAAGAAATAAATTAATAGGCAGCGAAACAGGCCCATACTAAATCAATACCTAACAGGCCCAAGGAAAAAATAGCAAAACAATTCGGTGATATTTTTGTAATTAATGTGAAAATCGCGGTTTTTGCTAAATGAACATTAGTGTACTGTTAATGAGCAATGGTCCAATTTTTATGAGCACCGTGTTATTACAAGAAAGCTGATATCACAACAAAAAACGGTGGCATTTTTCGTAATTCACTTTCTTTTTCTTATTTTTTTATAAAAACTTATTAAATTATATCTATAATCAACTTCTATAAACTTCAATATGTGAATTTAATGTAATATGATATTTTTGAAAGATTTATTGATATACCATTTTAAAAATGAGCATAATATCAGTATCACATGAGCATACACAACTTTCAAAATGTGCATAAGTATGAAAATCGTAAGGTTTGTTAGTTGGACGTCATGACATTTTTATAGAGCATCAAATCTCCTATATTGAGATGAAAATAATGCTTTCTGTTAAATGGGCATTAATGAACTTTTAATTAGCACTAGACCTATTCTGTTGAGTATTAGGAGTCTAATACTGGACATCACAATCTTCGCTTCTTATCTTTTAATTCACTTTCTTTTTATGTTGGTCCCGTTTAAGCTAGGAACGCCATCTGAAGTGACGAATTTTGTTTTCTCTGCATCATCCGGGTGCATAAAGACTTGATGATATCCCCGGAAGGCATCCATGAAACTTAATAATTCACATCCAGCTGTTTCATCTATCAAGAGGTCAATTCGTGGTACCACATAGGGATCCATTGGGCAGGCCTTATTCAAATCAGAGTAATCTACGCACATTCTCCAGGTGGACTTTTAGGTGCTAGTACCACGTTCCACAGCCATTCCACATGAATGACTGGCCGGATGTGTTTGATTCGGAGCAATGTGGCAACTTCTTGCTTAGTGAATTCACGTCGTTCGGCAGCTTGAAACCTCTTCTTCTGCTGGACCGGCTTGGCCTCAGACCGAACGGCTAATTTGTGGCAGATTATATCCGGGTCAATACCAGGCATGTCTTCCGGGCCGCGAGCAAATAACATATGGAATTTCCTTAGGACCATGATAACACCTTCTCGAATTCAAGCTTCCAGGTCCACCCCGATCGCTACTTTTCGATTGGGGGGGAGTCAATATCAATCTGCTCTAAGAGAGTAGCAGGCTCGGGATGTGCCTCGAACTCCGTTCGGCGAGTTTCAACCTCAATGTTGTTAACCCGCATCCCTCGAGCATTCATATTCTTCAAGGCTTCCCGATAGCATGTTCGGGCTGTCGTTGTATCAGTTCTGGCCACCCCAACCCCAGTATCTGTTGGGAATTTGATACACGAGTGGCGGACAGAGGCTATTGCTTCCAGATCTTCCAATCCCGGTCTGCCCAAAATGGCGTTGTGGGCACATTTAATGTCCACCACCACGAACGTCATTCGGATTGATGCCCTGTGTGTTTCATCTCCAATTTCAATCATCAATAGGATGGTGCCTTCAGCTTCAATGCAATTCCCCGTGAAGCTTGCGAGCGGTGTCCTTAAGTGAGTCAGTTGCCTTCTCTGTAGGCCCATTTTTTCGAACGTTTGTAAGTACAACACGTTCACGTTGCTTCCAGTATCTACTAGCACCCGGCGGATCAAAGCATTGTCTATGCACATGCTTATCACCAACTCGTCCCTGTGCGGGCTTGGTGAATTGGGCAAGTCTGCATGCCCAAAGGTGATTGAGTCCATCCTTCCTTTCTTTTAGGGTGGCGTGGCTACTGAGCCCACGTACAAACTTCTTTCGAACTTCTTCCGTTCGGCGTTCAAGTCACCTGTCTCTCCACCTCCAAATATAACCTTCACCTCCATTCTGGGGTTTTTACCCGGGTTCCCCGAACCTTCTGGTTCATCCCTGAGAGGGTTATATACATCATTTCGGGGGCTAGCATCATGCTGAACGTCTCGCTTCCAGCTATTGGATCTCCTGACCGGCTTCAGAATGCCTGTAGCGTTTGGGTCTGTATTTACATATTTACCCAGATGACCCCTCTGGATCAATTTCTCAATTACTATTTGTAATGCCCGACAGGATTGGGTGGAGTGACCGTTCCTGTTATGATCATTGCAAAAAGCATTCTAATCTGCCCCCATGTAGTTTTTGGTGTCAGTCAGAGGGGGAATGTTGTCCTTCTCGTTCTGATAAATGGTCGCAATAGACAGGACCAAATGGGTGAATCGCCCTGCTCTTGGAGGAGGAACGGCAGCTGGGATAGGACCCAGCCGATCGGTCAGTTTTATTGGGGTAGGGGGTGCAACTATCTTATCCCTGATCATGATTTCTTCCTCCAGAGCCGCATGCTTTTCTGGATCTTTCCAGCACTTCAGAATACATTGTGCCTGGATTCTTCTTTAGGTCCTTATATAGTTCACCCGTTCAGAGAGCATTAGTAAATAGGGTGATGGCTGTATCATCTGTCATGTTCCCAACTTTCAGGGTCTCATCCCTCCATCTTTTGAGGAATGTATTTAGGGTCTCCTTCGGGCCCTGCCTGATACTGGTTAGGTAACTGAAATGCCTTTTTGGAGTGGCACTGGAGGCAAACTGGGCCAGGAATAGGGACGATAATTCGGAAAAACTGTCGATCGACCCGGGTTGCAGGGTCTCAAACCATTCTTAGGCAGATCCCCTGAGCGTGCTGAAGAAAAGTCGGCAAATGGCCGCTTCCGATGTTCCTAATAGCATAAGCCCCCCTTGGTAACTCCTCAAGTGTCCGTGGGGGTCTCCGCCCCGTCATTTATTTGCCCGGTCTGCGGGTTGGCATCCCTGTGGATCTCAGCCTGCATTATTTCCCGGGTAAAGGGGGATGTAATCCCGACCTGCACTGAGGTAGGTTGTAGAGGGGTTCTGTTCATTTGTTCCTTCATTTCGTTCATTTGTCTCCTCATTTCGACCATTTCTTCTTCCTGGGCCGTTAGGGGAGGTGGTGGTGGAGTTTCCAAGTTAACAAACCCCTGGTTCCCCTCTGGCGGGGTAGTTCTCTGATTCTGATGTCCCTGTCTGAATCATGTATTGTCACGCTCTGCATAATGGTAATGGCGATCAACCGGCGTATCCCCTCTGGCCCGGTCCCCGATCGGGGTGTTGTCGCTAGGAGTATGATGCCTGCCTCCGGCTGCATGAGTCCTTCTGCGCTCTCCCCAATGGGCTCGTGAATGATTCGATGCAGTGGTTGTTTCTGCATCGAAGGTATCGTCATCGAATGACTGCATCGTAGATGGGGTAGTATACCTGGTTTCCCCCAGGTAGCTGGATCGTCCCCCCTCCTGCTCATCTGCCATGTGTTGCATGACCCGAGCCAAATCTCGCATGGCATGGGGGTTCCTCCTCAGAGCTTCGGGAATGAAGAAATCCCCATCAAAGTGTGGGTAGGATCCCCGACTGGATTGCCCTTGGGGGTTCCAGCTTTCCCCGCGTCTCCCGGAGCCTACACTAGAGTGATGAGAGGTGATTCTAACCATTTTTGGAAATGGTTTGCTATTTGGTGTGAAACTTTTTGTTCAGTAGTTTCCCACAGACGGCGCCAATGTTGAAGTTTAGTCCCGCAGATCCGAAAGCCCAACATGAACTTTGGATATATCAGGAAATGGGTTAGAACCAAGTGTATAAAGAAATATAAAAGATGAGTAATTTACTGCTCTAAAGCTCACTTTGTATTAAATAACTTGCTTGATTACACGGAAACCTCCCGATCGATACGTCGGAGAAGTGATTAATATAAGAACAAGAGTGATAATGCTATTCTAGAACTTGAGTATGAAAATGCTAACCCTTTACAATGAAATTAATCCTTCTATTTTTACTAATGAGGATATGGGGTGCTTCATGTTGATTGGCTGCTTTAACCAGCCATTTGGAAACCCATACTTCCACATGTTGCCGCCATACTTCTAGCAATAAATGCACCCTGCCACTTGTTAGATATCCGTTGTCCGAACGGGTAGTGGATCATGTTGGAATCATCATTGACCTGGCCCAAGTACACTGGTTGACCCGAACCCCGTTCGGTACATTTTTCATGAACCTATTCATCTTCCGGATTTTGGGCCCGTTTGTTGGACTAGATACATTGGGCCTTGAATCCGGGTATTGGGCCTGCGGGCCAATATCCCAACAGTTATAAATGATTCTTACTATATCATTTGAATACCAAGCATATAAACGCACATTTTTAGTAATCGCGTCACTTTTTTATGTTCTAATGTTAGTGGGATTGAGGTAGTACCATATTAGAACTTGTGTTTAATTGTAAGGATTTCTTTACTTGAGCTATCTTCACTATTAGATCGGATCAGAATAGAGCATATCAAATTTGAGCTATGGTGAAATACACATATATCTAATGGTGTATCCAAAAAATTCTCACGGGTGTGAAACTTGTACTAAAATTTGTCTCACATTTCACAAATAGTAGACCACATTACGGTTATTGTGTAATTAGATTTAGTTTAATTTGTAAATGTATATATATTTTTTGGTAAACAGAAGATCTATATATATTACGTGTGTGCAAAAATATAGTTGTAAATAAACTTTTAGGTTATTTTAAATCTTTAAAGTAAGAATAAATAAATAAATAAAAGTCCAACAAAACTCCTAAGTTATGGTAAACTGCTTTGAATGTTTTGAGAAGGCAAAAAGCTAAATTAAATGAAACATGAAAACACGCTTGAAAAGTAAATCAAGTTAAATGAATTACACCTAATTTAAGTTGTAAATGTACATGCATCTGAAAAAAGGAATTCAATTTATATTATGTGTATGCAAAAATATAATTATAGATAAAAGTTATAGGCCATTGTAAATCTTTCAAGAACGGGTAAATGGAACAAAAAATCGGGTCACTGTAAACTTGTTTGAGCTTTTGAGAAGGCAAACAACAAAATGAAACTCCAAAGTAAGCTCTAGGGGGCTTGAATAGACTCTACTTATTTGGAGTAAATAGTACATTAATTTGTATTAAAACTCATAAAGTACTTCAACTTATTTTTATGGTGGAATTATGGTACATTTGTCTAATATAGATGAATCACCTAGAAAAAAATGATTTAATCATTTGTCAACTTTTATTTTAAACTAATTAAAAAATGAAAAAAGTTCTTAAATATGAGATGTTTTATAGAATAAATTGTTTTTTTAAAATGTGTTTAACATTTTCTATTTTTTTTACAAAATGTGATTTTATTATGTGATTTTTTTAACATTTTCTATTAATTTTATCGAATGTTTCGTCATTCTTAATTTTGAAATATTTTAATATATGTTCAAACCGAATTATTGCAAATGTTAAGCACATTCTAAAAATAAACAATTAATTCATCTCATATTTGTCAACCTTTATCATTTTTAACTAGTTTAAACTAAATGTTAAGAAATTATTAAATTGTTTTTCCTAAGTTCTGCGTTTATGTTTGACGGATGTACAATAATTTCACTGTAAAAATATGTTGGAGTACTCTATGAACTCTATTGTAACTTAGTGTACTTTTTATTATACCGGAGACAAGTTGAAGTACGGTATGAGCTCCGATGCAGGTTAATGTATTCTTTACTCTACATGAGACAAAATCAAGTACCAAATTAACACTTTACCCCATTTTATTCATTTAGACTAGAAAGGAAGTTATAATAATAGAGACATTCGATGCAAGTATATAAGGAGTAGCAATTAATCGCAAATTTGTACACTATATACATATTCCATGTGTGTTGAGGGGGGACATATGCTTTTATTAATTTCACTAGATACGTCCCTGCATATATCATGTCTATGCCATATCATACATACTTAAATAGATCAGATTTGGCTTAAATAGATCAATAGGCCGGAAAAGTAGTTCAAAGTTTTATAACATACTTCCGTTTTACTAACATTGAGACACAAGGATAAATGGATCAGAATCATCAGAGTTATTTAAAAAGTGAGTTTATGTGATTACATTGAATTGATAAAGTAAGAATAATTTAAAACTATACAAACTTTACCAAATCTGATATGAGACATCTTAGTAGGACGAACCGAAAAAGTAAAACGCACAATCTTACCGAAATAGTATTTAGATTTGGCTTATTGGTTAGCATGAGATATTTAGTAGTACCTCATCTCAAAGGCTACATTATTATTCTTCATGCATGAAAACTTACATGTTACTCAATACTCATGGTTTAGGAACTCAAGAACTTGAGGCCACAACTTTACTCTGCTGCAGAATGTTCAGAGAAATCATACCAATATAGCAACCAGAAAGAGATGTATGTATAGTATGCCACTACATGAAAACTTAAAACCCTTTTCTTTGACGTATATATTGAAATTATTAACATTGTTGTGCCTTGTTTGGACGGGCGGCATGTGGTCTCTTCTATGTTAACTTTAGGGCTATGGACAACATACAAGAATATGTTGAACGAGCTGTTGTGAGTGCAGTTGATCACATAGGAACTGTTGCTTACAAGCTGAACGAAATGCTGGAGGAAGAAACCTCGGATATCTCAACCATGGAGTTGATGGTCACACGTTTGGATCAGCAAATTTTCACCTGCCAAACATATATTGATAAAGAAGGTCTCAGGCAGCAGAAGCTGTTAGCAACAAATCCAAGGCTCCACAAGCATTATACTTTACCTGGTATATATCTCCCATTAATAAAAGAAGAAAGAGATTTTTAGGTATATAGTACTGAAATGAAATATACGGACTATATACAAATATATGACTAATTGTTACCATAGAATAGTTTCATTGTCATCTAAGTGCAAAAGTTTGAATATAAGTTACTTGACTAAAGTCACTATACTTAGAGCATGTTTGATAGGCATAACTTCCCATGTTTTAGCTTTTGTATTGATTAAAAAGTCTCTAAAAGTTTCTAGTTGTATGTTTGGTATTACTACTTTAAGAGTTTTTTTCTAAATAAAGATCTTTTTTGAGATGGTGAAGAGAGTAACATCTAAGAAAAGCATGTACCTTTTAGCATTGATTAGTTTCAACCGCTTGCATACCAATCAAAACTTAATCAAACAGTCAACTTTTTATCGAGGGAGAATTTGAGTTTGCACTCCATGTTTTGAGTGACATTTTACTTTGCACACCATTTTTAATATCATTAATGTATGCACCCATTAACCCCAAAATTGTGAAGGAGTGAGGTGCAAAGTCAAATGATTTTATAGTGAATTGATGTGCTTACATTAATGATTTTGAAAATAGGATGCAAAGTCAAATATCACCCAAAACATTGGGTGCAAAGTCAAATTCTCTCATTTATCAAACAACTATCATCTTTTCCTTTTAAAGTATCTATTCAGCTAGTTGTGCCAAATTAACATGCCCTAAGCATTTTGGTCCAATTGCAATTAAGAAGTCCTATTTAAGACATTTTAAACTAGTAGCTAGGTCGCCCTATTTTGGAAAAAAGATATGTTTTGGTCTTGGTACATCTCCCTATCCAAAATTTCTTCATTTAGCACTTTCTGCATATGTATTTAACATCTTCAACTCTTTGACGACAGCTTCAGCTGTCAGGAAGAAGGTCGACTCTAGCCAAGAACGCATTCAAAAGAGTCACACGCAACATAAAGATATCAGGCCCCAAATCTGTCTATTAGGTAAAAGATTTTTGTTATCTATGCTATGATTTATAAGATGTTTTTGCACTTCAATTTGATTGTCTTAATTAAATTAGTACTTGGAGTAATGTGAATGGTTGCTTGATGCATGAACTAATGTCAGGTGCCCCTGCTCCTAAAACTCTTTCATGGCATCTAGCATTAGAAGCCAAATCCAAACTCAGAAGGCCTTCACAGTTCTTAACAAGGTTGGAACCTCTTACTTCGACAAAAATTAGTGAAATTAATCGCGCGTGGCAAACGGACCAACACAAACTTAAGCAGCTCATAACATACGAGATCAATTTAAGATGTTTTTACTTTGGACCATAATTTGATGGTCTAGTCTTTTTAAGTTTGGTCTGGTCTGATAAACGTCCGATCTCTGTGTGTTTTATAACTACGGATGTCAATTCTGATCTGGTCTGATCTATTTACGTCTGATCTACTCTGATATGAGATTGAAAACATTCCAAGTAAAAGCATCCTTAGATATAGCAAAAACAGACTTGGAGCAAGGGAGAGGCTTGAGGGACTAGGGCTCGTGCCCAAGAAAAAATGATAACACACACATATGTAGTACTGCGTATAATATTTTTTTATCCATAAAGATGTTAGAATTTTTAAAATTTTATCCCAACATTATTACAATGTTAAACATTGTTGTAAAATTAACAATGTCATAATATTGTAACATATAATAATGTAGTAAAATATGTCAAAATGTCAACAAATGTCATTATATTATTAAATGCAAATATGGGGCGAAAATATCACACTATCATTATATTGTTTTTGGAGAAATGTCGTGTTTATTCCATGTAAACATGTAAACGGTTACATGTCTCTTTCACCTTTATTGGCCATGTTTTCCCCAGAAATGTCATGTTTATTCATTGTAAAAAAAATATTTTTTCAACTCTAACCTCCGTAACGATACATTCCTGACTCCGCCATCGAAATAAACTTATACCAAAGTATTACAACATCACAATATCCCAAATTTAGATCAAACAAACCAAATGAGACAATAAAGTTCAGACTTCCAAATCTCCGGCTAATTGATCAGTTTCTTATTAGTCGTGTATGCTAACTTTTTGGTTTTCCTCTACTCATTATGAGCAAGTCAATAAAAAGTGCAACTTGACAAGAAGAGTACTGGTCCACAAACTTAAGATCCCCTTGCGGGAGGTTTTATATTCAAGTCACTTGGTGAGTTTGATTCAAAGGCTTTCAATTTCACAATTTTTTATCCTCTAATCTTGAAATTAGCTCGAGTGATCGCACAATTAGTAGTTCGTCACGTGGATCAAATATACTAAGAGTGATTTTGGTGTGAAGTCGTGAATAGATGGCCGTAGGAACATAAGTGATTGTTCGAGCGATTCAGATTACTTCTCTCATAAGATTAGGGTGAATTCTTGAGAGCCTAAAGTTAGTGTGTCAAAATCTAGATCACCCTTATGTTAATAAAAAAAATATGTTTGTTGGAATTGGAAAATTCTTCTATTCAATATCAAGAACAGAATTACAATAGGAGGAACAAACTCTCACACTCAACTATTACAAAAAATCAATCCTCACCAATACACTTCTACACTAAGTGTATTTCACTCTTCACACACTTTTCTCACTTTCTAAACTAATGATATTGAACAACATGGAACACTCTATTTATAGGACTAGTTTGGAGATAAGAGGAAGTTGCATTCAAGCTTCCATTCACATGGTAAGGGAGCTTCCTAGTTATCTCTAAATAATCTTCTCCCATGTTTATATGTTGGAGACCTCCTTCCAAGAAGGTGATAGACGTCTCTTGTCAACTTCCAAGAAAGAGGCTAGGGTGGGTGATCCCTACAGTTGGGATCACTAATAAAACTTGCTAAAGCGTAATTAAAGAAGGCCAATACTAGGTCTATAATACATATCAAAAACAAATTTTAACCTTTTTAAGTGGGTAATACGTTGAGACTGAAATAATTTTATGCATCAATTCTAATCTATGTAGTGATGAGGATGCAAAGATGTCCGGAAGAACATCTGGTGTACGCAGGACATCGTCGGGTATGAGAAAAGTTTAATTAATTATCCTTAATATATATATGTATTATCCTAAGTATATATGCAGGGGCGGAGCCAGGGTACTGTGCCAGATCAGAACGGTACATAGAATTCGTTTTGAAAAAAATTAAACAAAACTTTTACCTTAAAAATAAAACGTTTTTTAAATTTGAGATGGGCCAGGACCTAGGTTGGCCCTCCCCAAGATCCACCCATGTATGTATGTGTTTTACCTGAGTATATATATGTATATGTAGTATGTACTATGGAGTAATTAATTAGAAAATTATGTCATCGATTTTAATAATAATTAATATTAAACTGCCAGAAAATATCGTTTGCAGATGTGGGGGAAGAGATGAGGACAAAGAAAATACCCTCATCGTCAACACGGCCTCGGTCACTTGGGGCAGGTCCTGCATCGAGGGTAGCCATGCAAACCTTGAGAATTGTATGTACCGTGACCGATCAATATATAATCAATTACTCAGTAATTATCGTAGATATTAAGGATGCTTTAAATTGAAATGATTTCCGTTCAAACCATATCATATCAAATTAGATGGACAGATCAAACAAAATTCGACAACTATAAAATACGAGATCCTTTTGGATTATACTAGATTAAAAACTGGGATTTGGCTTTGCGTCCCATTTTTGAATTATATTAGACTTTGTACCTCACTTTTAAAATATGTTTCCGTTCTATCAGCCCAAGTGTAGTGAAAAGAAGAGTTGCAAAATGAAATGATTTTATGCTAGAGAGAGTGCAAACGTTAGTGATTTTAAAAATGAGGTGCAAAATCAAATATTACCCAAACATGAAGCACAAACATATGTTATTCATCATAAGCTAATTAAAATTGAAAGAATTGAATAATTTCTTTTGTCGTACGTAGGATGCTTCGGAGGGCTATAAATTACGTACGACGAGACCAACTCCTTCACCATTTGGTAACCGCACGCATGAAGAGAAGGCGGCCAAGGTTGCACCCACTCGCGGCAAGGCTACGGCGGCGGCACTCTCCACTACTTTCTCTGCGGTCAAAGAGAAAACAAGAAAGCTAATTAAAAGCATGCAGACTTCAGAATATTAATTAGTGTATATATGGCGTTTAGTTTATTAAGATTACTAATAAAGGCCCAGCGAATTTTCAAGCAGCATTCATTTTAGTATCAAGGTTAAAATTTTAGTAGGGCCCTAATTTTATTACTCAAGATAAATCACAAATGTTAAGACATTTTATTATGTTGAAGTAAAGCCTTATTTAAATTTGGTTCAAGGTATATATTGTGTAAAATCTTATTACTTCTAATCTCACTAGTAGTCGTATATATTGATGCAGAGAACTAGTTATATATATTCCTAAATTTGAAAAACAAAATGTCTTATTCATTCATTAATCCAAATGCATGTTCAATATTATTCTTAGCTTGTGAGTGATTCATATTAAAATACTCATGTGCATTTTGCGGATGACAATTGTTTTGCCATTCTAACAAATTGTACCTTTGCCCTCTATACGGGACAAGAAATCGTTCACAATTAGCATAACCTCCATCAACCAAATAGTAACACCCTACCAATACATTTAAATTTTTATATTAATTTACTTCATAAATTTAATTTTAGAATAAAAAATGTGTATACCTTGTGGAACTCGGAACCTTCTTGTGAGGGCATCTCGCAAAACTCTACCATCTGCATCTGATCCCTCCCATCCAGGAAACACATATATGAACTGCATTTGTGGATTGCACACACCAAGGACATTTGTAGCAATTCTTCCTTTTCGAGAACGGAAACATTTATGATCATTTGGTGATACATGGACATCAATATACGTTCCATCCAGTGCACCCACACAATTCTGCAAGATTACAGTAACTTGTATTACAAAGAAATATCATGGGGTGGTTAGAAATAGAATGGTGCATAGATTAATTAAGATATAAACCTGAAATGTTCTCCATCGATCATCTTCACATTCCATCATAATTGGTTGAGGTTTAGCATACAAAGTAGAATGAAGTTGTAACATCGCATGTATTACGGTAGAAAAACATTTGTTTATTTTTCTCCCGGATCTTTGAAAGTCACTTATTAAGGTTCTATTTTGTGATGATGGGATAATACAAGTAGAAATATAGTTACTTGTTCTTCTACTATCAAATGTCGAGTTGGTCTCAACCCACCTTTTGTAACCAACATATCACACAACTTCAAAAAAGCAGCACAACTCATTCTTAATTGGGAAATGCAGTTTGATTCAGATCCGTTTACTAGTCTTTTAAAATATCCCTCCCTTTTGGAATGATTGTCTATTATATATCGAATACCCATGTTCGCTTTCACCTTGTGGATAATGAAACAAACATCCAAAATGTGATCGTCATAAATCATGTTTGAGCATTCAACCACCACTTTAATGACTTTCTCCTTAAGACGCGTTTTGAATTTAAAGAACTTTGCCCTAATACATGGTTGTTTAATGTTTGAGTTTCTTCCATTCTATGAAAAAACAGAAATGAGATTGTAATGAATTGAAAAGACAAAAGGCATTGACAATTTGATACATACGTAAGTGTTGCGATTTAGGTTAATAAAACGATAAATTAAAGAGCAAGAACACAAGAATTTACGTGGTTCACACAATCAGGGTGATTGTGCTAGTCCACGGCGAACGAGAGAGAGATGTTTTATTATTATGTCTGCGTCTAGGGTTTACACGTACATTAGAGTCGTTTAAATAGGTTTAACAAAAACCTAAACAAAGATTAGAGCCGCAGGCCCAAAATTAAGCCCATAATTAAAATTAACCCGTAGACCCGGTCGGGTCTCCTATTTGACCCGGTCGGGTAACTCCTCAGCAAGCATGCCCGGGTTGAGACCAGGGCGGGTAACCAAAGCAGAAAGGTAGAAACTCCACTGGCCCGGTCGGGTCCCCTTCTCTACCCGGTCGGGTGTCGCCTCAAAAGGCATACCCGGGTAGACACCAGGGCGGGTATCCAAAACAGAAGCCAAAACCATCCACGGACCCGGTCGGGTAAACCTCCTTACCCGATCGGGTTTCCCAATCCAGAGAGTTGCCCGGCCAAATTCACATCATACCCGGTCGGGTGACTGACCCCACCCGGTCGGGTATCTACTCCTGCTGCACAAACAAGGCTCCATCTTCAACAATCTCCCACTTGGAGGCTTGTTCAACAATCATCTGCCATCCAAGAACTTGTATCCTCTGTAAAACCCCTGATCTCTCTCTCTCGTTCACGCCTTCTCATCAAGTATCTGGAAGGCCAGTTGAAGCCATGCAAAGCTTCAACTTCTCCGTTGTCATCGCCTTGGTTAGCATGTCTGCTGGATTCTTCGTACCAAGGATCTTCTGCAAATTTATAGTACCATCTTCAATCATCTCTGGGATGAAATGATACCGCATCTTGATGTGTTTCGTTCTGCTGTGAAACACCAGATTCTTTGTGAGATGAATAGCACTCTGGTTGTCACAATATAGAGCGCAATCTCTCTGTTTCATGCCCAACTCAGAAAGAAAGTTCTTCAACCAGATCAACTCCTTGGCCGCTTCAGCAATGGCCATATACTCTGCTTCTGTGGTTGAAAGAGCCACACTCTTCTGTAGTCTGGACATCCAACTGATTGCCGTACCTCCAATAGTGAATACATACCCCGTTGTGCTCTTCCCGGAATCATAACAACCCCCAAATCAGCATCGGCAAATCCTTCAAGGATCACACCATTCCTTCTGAAACATAGGGCACTTTCAGAAGAGCCTTTCAAGTAGCGCAACAGCCACTTAACTTCTTCCCAATGCTCCTTTCCTGGATTTGACATGATTCTGCTAACAACTCCCACTGCATGAGCAATGTCTGGCCTTGTTAACACCATCGCGTACATCAAACTGCCTACGGCTGATGCATAAGGAACTTTAGCCATTTCTTCTTTGTCTTCATTGATCTTTGGAGACTGCTGCTTAGAGAGCTTCAGTTGACTCCCTAACGGTGTACTCCTTGGTTTGGCATCCGTCATTTTGAACTTCTCAAGGACCTTCTGAATGTATTTTTACTGTGAAAGCTGTAAAGTACCTTCTATCCTGTTTCTGACTATGCTCATCCCAAGAATCTGTCTTGCTTCCCCTAAATCCTTCATCTCGAATTCTTCTGACCACTTCTTCTTAAGTTTGTTGATCTCCTGCATGTTTGCTCCAGCCACCAACATGTCATCAACATACAAAAGAAGGATGATGTATGATGACTTGAATTTCTTCAAGTAGCAGTAATGGTCCATCTTGCATCTAGTGTACCCATTCCGCTGCATAAAATTGTCAAACTTCAAGTACCACTGTCTAGGAGCTTGCTTTAGCCCGTGTAGACTCTTCTTGAGTTTGCACACCAACTTCTCCTTACCACTCACTGGGAACCCTACTGGTTGAGCCATGTAAATATCTTCTTCAAGGTTGCCATGAAGAAAGGCAGTCTTTACATCCAGCTGCTCCAATTGCAAATTTTCAGCAGCAACAATACCAAGGATCAACCTGATAGTAGTCATCTTCACAACCAGAGAGAAGATTTCATTGTAATCAACCCCCTTCTTCTGTTGGAACCCCTTGACAACTAACCTTGCCTTGTATCTTTTGCTCCCATCTGCTTCATCTTTGATTCTGAACAACCACTTGTTCTCCAAAGCTTTCTTTCCCGGTGGTAACTTGACTAAGGACCAAGTTTAGTTCTTATCAAGTGAATCTAACTCATCCTCCATGGTCTTCTTCCAATGTATGGAATCCTTCACAATCAGCGCCTCTGTGTAAGATTCTAACTCTCCATTCTCGGTCAGCAACAGATAATTTGCTGAAGGAGAATATCTGTTAGGAGGTCTTCTGTTTCTAGTGGACTGTCTAATTTGTGGAGTAGTTTCCTCCGAGCTCCCACTATCTTCATCACTCCCACTATCTTCAGAAATTCCTGTATCTCCTGAGCTCCCACTGCTCCCTGAGCCTCCATCCATGCCATCACAACCAATAGGGTGTGCTATGTCATCTTCAGTCATCCCTTCAAACACCACTTGCTGTTTGTTTTCTGGTTGTTTGCCTTTGCTAGTTTCTACTGCAAGGTCATCTTTATACAGGGCATTCTCGTTGAAGGTGACATCTCTACTTCTGATAACCTTCTTGCTGTGGTTGTCCCAGAACCTGTAGCCCATGTCATCCAGCCCGTACCCAATAAAGATACATTTCTTTGCCTTTGCCTCGAGCTTGTCACTATCTGCATCTCTAACTTTGACATAAGAAATACAACCAAAAACTTTCAAGTGATTAAAAGATACCTCATGACCTTTCCATTCCTTCTCTGGAATTTTGAACTCTATGGGAGATGAGGGTCCTCTGTTGATCAAGTATGCTGTTGTGTTCACCGCATCGGCCCAGAACATCTTTGGAAGTCCTGCATGTAATCTCATGCTCCTGGCCCTCTCATTCAGTGTTCTGTTCATCCTTTCTGCAACACCATTTTGTTGTGGTGTTTCTGGAACCGTCTTCAGCATTCTTATCCCCTGTTCAGCACAATACTCTACAAACTCTATACTACTGTACTCACCCCCATTGTCACTCTTTAAACACTTGATTTTAAGATTAGTTTCATTCTCAACTGCAGCTTTGAACTTCTTAAAAGTGTTAAAGACTTTAGATTTATTTTTAAGAAAATAAACCCATACCTTCCGTGTAGAGTCATCAATGAATGTAACATAGTAGCGGGAACCTCCAATTGAAGAGACCTTTGTAGGTCCGTAGACATCTGAATGAATCAACTCCAGCCGCTCAGTCTTGGGTTGTTGCCCTGTCTTCACTAAGGTTACCCTCTTTTGTTTGCCAAGGACACATGGCTCACAAAAGCTCAACTTTGAATTCTTCAAATCTGGGATTTTACCCTTTGAAGACAACATCTTCATTCCGTTCTCACTTATGTGCCCAAGTCTTTGGTGCCACAAAGTAGAGACCCCTGCATCTTCAACGGCTGTGTTTGCTCCATCTGTAGACACTTCTACCATGTACAGTGTACCATGCTTCTGTCCACGAGCGATAACCAGCTTTCCCTTTGTCACCTTCCATTGCTTGTTGCCAAAACTAACGTTATGACCTTCCTCATCAAGCTGTCCCACTGAGATCAACATCTTCTTCAGATCTGGAATATACCTGACATTTTTCAGCCTCCAGGTTGTACCCAAAGTGATATTGAGATTAACATCCCCAATACCCGTGATCTCCAGGGATTTTTCATCCGCCAAACGAAC